CATTCATCGTTTCTGCTATTAATGTAAATTTATAGAGAAATAATACGTAATTTAATATTATATATATTTAGATCGACAATAAATTACAAGCGGTTTTTCTCTCTCGGAAAATCTTCGGATTTTACTTTTCCATTCCTCTATAAATTCGAGAGGACGTTTCATAATGCGGGAAACAGACCGCCGGGTATATTTATTTGCTATTTTAGGTTTCGCGGAAAGGATTATCCCGAAATAAACGCGGGTTGATATTTACAACAGGCACGCCTCTTCTCCCATCACGTTACGTGAATCCGTCTACGGCAAAATGTTTACGACAACGCCGCGCAACCACCTGTTTTTACAGCAATTTTATGTATATTATACGCGACGAGCAAATTCCTAATCGGCGGAATTACGAGACCAGTTGGACACTTTCAAGGTTTTCAACGATCGGCTTTGCTTTTTGAAGCCGTGCCTCCCTCTCTCCCGTCCAAAACCCCCCTCTCCCCCTCCTCTCCCCGGCTTACGACTTCGCGTAGCCGGCATTCACTTTCACCTCGCATAATTTATTCTATACCAAGCGTAAATTGGAGGCATTTGGCGTATGTAAGTCGCCAATTTAATAGCCACCGCGATTACGAGGTGAGACACTCTTCTTTCTTTCTCTCTCTCTCTCTCTCTCTCTCTCTGTCTTTCTTTTTTTATCGAGACTACTTTAACGACGCCGATGTGTACCTTTATTCCCCGCGAGGAATGCATCTCGCACGTTAATATCACTCGACTTTCCATTCGCTGCGTTCTACGTCTCCCGGTAGCGTTGAGTTATTTTTGCGTGCACGAGAGAAAAAAAAGAGAGATAGACGGAGAAAAAGAAACGGAGATCGGAATTCCCGAATAACTTTTTGGCGCACGCGCGAATATTTAAATCGTGGTTTATTTTCATAATAAATTTAAAGTGTCGCTCAAATTTACATGAGCATTAAAATCTCGAGATAACCCGACTACTATTTACGATCGCGGTTGTTTCGGTCTGCCCTGCCTATAAAATTTCGTCATTCTTTTGTCGTAACACGTTGACACAACGTATAACGTGGCTGCAGTTATGTGTGAAAACCGTTTAATTATAAAACGGCATCTATAACGAGACTTAAGACTTAAGATTTAAGAAAATTGACCAATCATAGTGGATTATTCATCTTACGTGAGAAGAATAATCGATTGTGACTGGTCAATTTTTTTCAATCTGAAGTCTGAAGTCTTGTTGTAGACGCCGCTTAAAAACGCAGAAGAACACACGGAGAGGACGGGAACAAACAAAAAAATTTTATGCGAAAGTCTTAAGGAAAGTTCCACAGAATTTTTTTCAGTCTTGGGGAAATTTCTTAGAAGTGAGAATTCCTCAACATTTTCGATTGCCATTAATCATAGTTTGAAAAAATGACTCGTTCAAAAATTATTTTTAATAAAAAGAAAGGCGGAAATTAGAGGCGAACAAAGTATCAGGAGAGTGACTACAAAAAAAAAAAGAAAAAAAGTACCACAAAAACGAGACAGTAAATATAACACAATGCTACATATGAATACAATGAACCCATAAAAGGCCAATCTCTTTTGATTAAAAGTAATCTTTCTTAAATTAGGTATATATACCATGCAATGACTAATGAAAATGCTAAGAGATTTTCTTCACGGACGTTTCCCTTAGGCTAAAAATGAAACTTTTCCATGAAATAAACTTCTCCAAGAAACTTTCCCTAAAAGTCTCGAAGTATAAAAGTTGTTGTGGACTACAAGATTACCTTAAAAAACAAAAAAAGAGTTTAAATATTTTAGTGAAGTAAATAAGACTCGGAAGCTTGATAAAGATATTAATATAAACGCTTTAGTACCTTTAAAAAATTCGGTATACATAAATCTCTTTTAAGTAGATAAATTAAACAGATAAATATAAGAAGATAAGATTTACACGATAACGTTTAAATCTGTTATTCAATATGTTTAATTTTCCATCTTCTTCGATTTGAATAATAAACCAAACCATGACATTATGTCTTCAGATTATTAAGATGAATATTAAAAAAAAATAATACAAGGGAAGAGAGAGAGAGATTTTCTCTCTGGATATAAAACACATAAGCGGTCGTTATACAGCCGTCCTTTCGAGTTCGGGTTATTCGAGTTTCGAGGAACAGCTGTACATCTCAAAGGGGCACGCCCTTTTCCTTACGGGATACAGCGGCAAGCCGAACCGGCCCTTGAGAGCCTAAGGGATTCACGAACCTTGCTGCGCTTTTTAAAACGATCTTGTTCGTTCAATCTCTCTCTCTCTCTCTCTCTCTCTCTCTCTCTCTCTCCCTCTCGTTTGTTGCACTCTTAGGCTCTTCGTAGGAATTGGTATCACCCAAATGTTTGATCGCTACTGGCAGCCAAATGTCGAAACAGGAAGACCTCGGTTCGTAGGAAGATCGCATCTTCTTCGCATGTGTTTATTTCGTTTGATTTACTATTTACACATTCACGACAGAATAATTTATCATGCTTTAACCACTAGATAACATTCAATGTCGTTGATATATCACGAGCTAAGGAAAGGAATTATCTATTTCAACACAGTTGACTCCAATTTTTCGTTTATCTTTCTCACAAATGTTTGATGTTAATTAATTGTAAGATAAATAGATGCCGAATGCTAGAGTCGCTCTGCTATCTATTAACTTGAGATGTGACGTCATTCGTTATCATTACTTTATCAAAGTAGTTATGATTCAGTGATCCAAAATGGAGCGCTTGGTGGGGATAAGCATTAAAATATATCTTACATTTACTTAATGCCCATTTCTATCAATGTAGATTAACTTTGAGCTTGGTTTAACTTATTTTGTATCTTCTTCAAGTTCTAAAAATTATAAAAACATAAAAGATAAATAAAACCGAGATTAAATTTAATTTACATTGGTAGAAATGGGCATAAGTGAGATTGAGGCAAATGTATATATGTGAACTTCTAAAGCTTGTAAGAATCTCTTCCCGACGGAACTTTCCGTTAAGATCGAGGATACAGCGCGTAAATAAATATCGTCGCGACACCGAACACCGAAGAAGTTGATCTTATGACGAAGTGTCGTCCCCCTCGGCTAAACGTCCGCACGGCAGGCCTTCGAGAAATAGGCGGACGGCGAAATTGTTTTATCGAGGTCATTTCCCGATCGCTTTACGGCACGTCGCCGGCGACTCGCGGCCGACCGTATATAAAAAAAAAGCGCAATTCGAGCCGAGAGCGACGAATTACAAGTCACGTAATAAAAGTGAAACAAAAAGACGAAGATATCGACGATACCGGAGCGGCGCCGAGGCACGCAACGCCGCGCCGCGCGGCCGCATACGAAATTTCCTCGCTATCTCACGGCGGCGGTCGCGGGATAAAAGGCGAGCCACACTCGCACATTCAACGGCGATATTTTGAACGAAGGCACGCCCCACCGTGTGCCCCAACGACTCCTCTACTTTCGAATCTCGTCCGGGAGGTTAGAATCAGCTGATGTAAGAATTCGCAACCGCTTTACAACGCTTCGTGCTCGTTAGACCGCGTATATTCCTCGGTTTAAAAGGCGCGCGGCCAGAAAGGCGCCTTTTAAAACGACCAGGATAAAAATGAAAAAAGGGCAGAGGAAAAGAAACAGAGAAAAAGCGAGAGAGAGAAAGTTACGCGTTGTAACTTTTTGTACGATCCCCGGATGATCCGTCGGCCGGGATCGCCGACAAGTATCGGTATTTAAGTAACACACATCGGAAGTTACGAGAGGACAAAAAAAGATAGGAAAATTTGTGAACGAGAGCGCGTCCAAGAGATTAGCTTGCAGAAATCTTGCCATCTACGACGTGATGTGACGCGATTGTGACGTGACGTGACGCGACACGACGCGACGAGATGATTCATCTGTTTTCACGTTCTCTCGTGGAGGATCCTTGCTAGACCCTTGCGCGATTACGTCGTCGCGAAGGGGGACTCCGCATTCTCGCGCTTCCCGTCGAATCCGCGCGGAATTCTCTTCTACGTGCGTTTCCGCGCGTTCGACCCTGTTACGTGCAACGTGCCGACGTCGGGGTGGATTTTTCGACTCGGCCCGATCGGCTCGGTTCTCGGCGCTCTCGCGTATTACGTAATTGCCGTTGTCAAAGGCAGCAGACGTGTCGACATCGCGCGCAACTCGCTCGCTTAGCCCGCTCGCTCGCCCGCCGCTGTTTCTCCGAAAGTCACAAAAAGGGTGACGCGATATACCGACACGAAAGGGAGCGTGTCGAATTTTCGAGCTGTCTTCGAGGAAAATCTGGAGACGGACGAAAACGAGAGAGAAAGGAAGAGAGGAGAGAGAGAAAGAAAGAGAGAAGGAGAGCAGCTGTTCGGCAAAGAATCAAATGGCCCTCTCTCGGACGTAATCTTGAAGAAAAACGGATTGGGAGGAGAGGCAGAGATAAGACAGAGAAAGAGGAGGGAGGGAGTAGAGCAGTAATTAGAGACAGAAGATATAAGGAGGGGGAAGAGGACCGGGCATGTCGAAGATTTCCCAGGCGTCGGCGACGGGAAGACGTCGTCGCGACGAAATTTCGCACGAAATATGGCGAGCGCGACACGAAGACGAAGACGACGACGACGACGGCGACGGCGACGATCGGGTGTCTCGCCGACTCTCTTATTCTCTCTCCTTGGCACGATATTACGCCACACGTACGCATCACACACACACGCACGCGCGCGCGCGCGCGCGGGCGGGCACTTGCGAATACACGCCACTGTTTCTCGTGGCGGTGACACACGCGCACACGCACGCACGCATATGTGCACGCGTGTACGCGCCTCGGTACGCCTGAGCGCGCGTACACACGCACACATATACGCACACGCGCGCACGCGACGAGCCCGCGCACGCGCGCGCGCGAGTGCGACGATCCTAGCCTCCCTAAAACGCACGGGAGGAGAGGCACACGCTCGACGAGAAAAATAGCGAGAGATATGCACTCACCTTAATCTTGAGGTACTCCTTGATGGCACGTTGCGACGAGTCGGTGAGCTTCACAAATATCAGGGATTTGCGCTCGTCGAAATTGCCGTGGGACGACAAACCATACTGGACATCTGGCACCAGCGCCATTTCTTCGTCTCCCATTTCGCCGTGTGCGGCTTCGCACCGTCTCGCTCGCTCGCTCGCTCCGCTCGCGCCGCACCGTCTCGCTCCTACTCGCGCACGACTCACGGTCCCCCTGGCGCTGCACCACACAGCTGACGTCCTCCGCTCGTCTGGCTGCTCGGGCAACGCCGTGAAGCAGCGCACGACGACAACGCACACTACTCTCTCTCTCTCTCTCTCCCTTTATCTATCTATCTCTCTCCTTCGGCACTCGCGCGTTTCTACGTGGTCCAGCCTCCGGTTTTTTTTTTCGCCTCTTTTCTCACCGCCGTTTAACGTCGAAGCGCACGAGTTTTCGCGCGGCGCGAATTTCGCGCCGTACGGCGCGCGTGAAACGAACACCGCGTGAACGACACCCGATGACTGATAATCCCTCAGCCGGAACTCCCGACGCGAGAGACGAGACGAGACGTTCCTTCGCGAAACGTGTTTTTCCTTCTCGCCGCACGCTCAACACCACCACCTCTCCACCGACGCGCGCCGTCCGTCGCCGCCTCTCCCGCACAGTTGCCGTATGCTCCCTGGCTCCGTCGCCTTCTCTCTCTCTCTCTTACGACTGTCGCCACACTGTTGTACCCCGCGATCGGATCTGGAGTTCCCCCTCCCCCCCTGGACACGATCACGCAGCTCGTAGCACCCCGTGCGAACGATGTGTTTTTCAACGGCGAACCACCCTCGAGCGCGCTCGCGATTTCCCACCTGCTCGGATCCCGCTCAACCGTCGCATATTACCGCGCCGGCACGACTCATCTCCCGGAATTTTCTCTCCCGCGGTGCTCTGAACGCCCGTAGCCCGGCGGAGAATAGGATGAGAAGAAGCAGCGCCCGTAGTTTCGGCGTAAAGAAACGCGACTACACACTTTCGAACGGCCACCTGGTAGGCGGGGCTTACGGAAGAGCCGTCGACCAATTGCGTCGCGCGCAACCGGATAACCCGACAGTCGGACCAAGGACGACCTCCGCCGTCCTCGCGCGGTGACGGCCAACGATCGACTGCCTGCCGGCTTTTCCCGTGCCGCCGCGCGTACCGTTGCCGCCACCTGTCGGCGCGGCGCCGACCTAACTCTCTCCTCGCCGCATAACGGCGCGTTCGCACGAGAGCACAGATACCCCGTACGTGAGAATTCGACGAGATTTCTCTCTCTCTCTCTCTCTCTCTCAAGATGCTCCCTCCCGCAGACCAATTTCCGTCACGTTTCCCTCGGCGTGATTCGCGACGCAAAGAAGCAGACGAGAGCACCCGCACCAGCTGTGCTGGAGTTTACTCGACGCGCGTGACTGGCTGCTCCGGCCAGCTGCTCCTACGGTTGGCGAACGTGAAGTTAGCCACTTATATATCTCGATGTTGGAACCTGCTGTTAGAATTCGACGTTCCGGCGTTAAAAATCATAAAGATGCCGGCGAAATTGATTTGACTCGACGCGGAAGCCGAGAGCAATTTTTCATAACGCGAATTTTGGGCAAGTTGCGGTAGTCACGTGTCCCGTCTAGGAAGTTTTCGATCGAACTGCTATCTCGTTGGCGTCACTGCATCTTAACGTAAGAGATTGCCGTACGTCTCGGTAGCTCGGTACGTCTCTCGCATGTCTCGATCGGGCAAACGGCAAAATAATTTTGGTTATCCCGTGATTCTTCGAAACCTGCTCCAAGATGATGCGAACATTGGGCGGTATCACATATATATTACTGATGGTGCAGCTAAACGTATTTATCGCCACTGACTGGTGGTACGGACAGAGAGATCCGTTAGGCCCATATCCTAGGATACCAGATAAGGATAAAGTGAAGGTAACCTTTGCGATTGTTATGATCTCAAATTCCCAAGTTCACGTCGCATTTTTCCAACGTCTATTTAATTTTAACTTCAGGATCATTTCAGATTGAAATCTTGAAGCTAAAATCGTTCGACTTTAGCAGATTGATTATCACATGGAATTCGTCTTTAGATAGTTTAAATTAAATCTTAGATACTCTCGATATAAAGCGTAAACATCATGATTGTTATTTATTATTACAGAGAGAAATTGCATTCGCAGAGGAGTGTAGGAAATTTATCACTCCACCTCAATCAGGATGGATCCGTTGAGAGAACTTTATTAATTATAATTGTACAGTGACTATGTATGCGTATTCTTCCTGTGGGAAAATGTAGCAATAAACAGTGTTATATTAATTTATAATAATATTATCTATTAAATTAGAATTTAAGAAGAAAACCTCCATAAGGGGACTTTATAAATTTAAAAGCTTTTTTATATACTTGATATCGCGATCGTCACAAAATTATATCAATTTTCTACAATGATGAAACAACACGAAACTTCTGTTGCGACGATTTTTTTTATATTTTAATGGTTTTGAGAAATATCGATAATTATGTTATTTATCAAATTTTCAATTTTTGTTAGTAGCGATAGAAAGTTGGAAAATAACTTTATTTGTGAGGAAACGATTCTAATATTTGTGAAAAATATCCTTGCGTATCTTAAAACGCTTTAATCGCGGGGGGAATCGAATCGTAGTATATTCTAAAATATTTCAGCTTGCAAACTTCAATTTAATACAATCTGGTCACTTTACATGAAAAATATCACAAAGGATGGAATAAAAGGAGGGCCAACGGACACCGGCCGCGGCGACGGAAACACGTGGAATAACTACAGAGGCAAGTTGTTTCGGATAAGTTTATTAGAGTCCCTGGATTTACCTTCCCCTGAGGCAGCTTATCCCAATAAGAAAGCCATCCCTTTCTACCCCACGCTCAACGGTAAGCACCGTTTCTTTTAATACATCGCAAGTTTCACTTTCACTTTTCGTTTCGCTATTCCACTTTTTTTTATTTTTTATTTTTTAAGAGCACCCTTCGGATATGGTACATTGATCGCAAAAAACGAGGAACGATAGAAGTGTACGAATGGCTCACGGGTGGAGGAAGAAGGGGGACGGGGTAGAGGGGGAGGTGGGGAAATGCGAAAATTAATTGTCATATCGAACGTGTGACTCCGTTCACTTAGGACGTCCGCGTAAAACCGTAAAACTTCAATACTTTACAGACACTCGCCGGGGAGGCATGATAGCGGCCGCCCGGATCGCCCGAACGCGTTTTTTTTTTTTTTTTTTTTTTTTAATACAAACTCGGTTCTCGCGCTTCCGAATCGATTCTACCAACCTGGTTTAACAAGCTTCACTTATAATTAACTAAATTACGTCCATTACTATATGCATATTATTCTACGTGTCTACGCTCTATTATTCTAGAAAGAAACAATCACTTGCTATTACAGGGAATTGAAACGACGTTGATAGAATCGTTTCTCGGAGAGTCGACGCGAGATTCCTCGAAGATCGGAGATCGGCCGAGATGCAGCCGCTAATGCGTTCCTCCTCGCGAGATGCGCGAACAATTTTTACCAATAGGCAACGTGATTTCTTTTTTTTTTTTTTAAAACATTTACAACGAAGATTCAAAAACATTTACAACGCGGAAGTATATATGCGACGATGCAAACGCAACGCAATCGAATTTTTGGTAAAATCAGCGCCCGTTTCCGTCTGTCACTTTTTACCATACTAACACAATATCAATAACGAAATGCATTTCGAAGTACTCCGCAACAATATCTTTCTCTTTTTATGTACAATTATCCCAAGAAGATCGGAATACTTTAAACTCCTGTTTCCACTTTTCCGTCTTTTTTTGTCGCGACGCTGCAACAAGAGTAATGAAAAAAGGGAAAGTAAAAAGTGACAGAAAAGTATTCCCTTCCTTTTTTTGTCTCTCAAAAAGTTCTTTCTAACGCAGAATTGTTCTGAAGGAAATTGGGGAGGTGTGTAAATATTCTCATCCGTTATTTTGCTTCTCGCTCGATCCGTTTTACCTGCGTACTCCTATTTGCGCGAGACGAAAAAGGAGAACGATAGTGAGGAAAAAAAAAATGCCGGCATAGCGTGTTGTGTAACATACATATGACAACGCAATGGGGGTGAATACGATGTGGAATCTTTATGGCGGGGCAGAGGGTAATTTCGAATGGGATAATGGGCATTCGGAAAATCACCGCTCCGTGGCTGTCTCGGAATATCTCCTTGGGATCTTTCTCCACTTTCCTTTCAGATGTTCGGCGAAGTATGTTATATTTGTAGCAAAGCTGATATAGACAATTTATGATACAATAATAAACAGTCTGTGTATATTTGCACAAGATATCTTTCCTTAAGCGTAATTTCTCCGAACTGCTTTGCCCAAAGAATCTTTCGTTTAATTTTTTAGTTTTCTCAACGAGTTTATATCGTAATCCTTTAACACTGAATGTCATTTTTTTTTTAAATAAGTTTTTTAATAAGTTCAAAATTAAAATCCTGTCCGAGTAGAGTCCACTTAGAATTAACTAGAAGAACGTAATTTTACATGAAAACATGAGAGGAATGTTACTCTTTGTTGCGATCCTTAATTTTCCCACACAAAGCCCTTCACTTTCAATTCCCTACAAGATGCTCGTGTAAAGACAAAATCGACTTGAGATTGATTGAGAAATTTGCAGTTTAAAGGAAGCGCGCTTAGAGAATCACAGAGACATCCTGTATAATAATACAATATGACTCTTAAAATATTATTTTGTAATGAAAATGGGCGGAAAAGTTATACGTTCTCTCTGAGTTTTAGATATGTTTTAGAATAGATTCGCTCGAGGAAAGATAAAGTGAAAGTGATTAATAGTCAGAATTATTGCGATCGAGCGGGTGTGAGACAGCAACACGGATCGCGATCATGACCATGTATATATATATAATATGTATAATGTATATATATATAATGTATATACACACTTGTAAATATGTATATAATATGTGCAGTCGTATGTGCAATATATTCTGTGATTACACGATCGAGATGCGATAATATCTTACACGTGCGTGTGTACTGTCGATGTGAAAGGAAAAGAAAACGTTAGATTACAAGGGGGGTATTTTTTTTTTTCGGTCGGGCAACGGCGAGCAGACGCAATTCGGCGCGGTGTCGACGCGAGTGTGACTCGCTTTATCATGACATTCATGACGATGGGCGAATGACGATGGGCGAAATGAACATTCAAGGTTCGCACTAACGAATCTTTCTCCCTCGTCTTCCCGTAGCCGAATCCGGAAACCTCGAGGTTTCCGTCCGAGCCGAAATAATTGTGATCGCGATTGTAAGTAGCGTCGGTCGATATCCGAGTATAGCAACAGCAAAGGAATTCTATCTCGTCGTACTGCGTTCGCTTACGCACGAGCACATTCGAAGAGGCGAATGAATTGAGGAAAGGCTGCACACGCGTGCGTTTTTATCGTTTATAACTCTCTTACGAGGCAATCGCTTTTAGCGTAGCTTTTCGCTGAAATTGAAGATTCACCAAACGAATATCTTCGAACGTCCGTTTAGTCTTGTCCAAATGTTCCGTGATAACCAATTTTCTCATCTCGTCTACGTCTCCATCCGTTCACTCGCCCCTTCGTGTCACACCGTATATATGTATCATATAACGGTCCTTACAAATCTAATCAATCACATTCAACTGTTCGGTGAGAGCAGGCTAAGCTGCTTCGTCCGGCCTGAAACACGGCCGATTAATGGAAATCAAAAGAGAATTAGCGGCCCGGTGCTGCTTTGATTTTTATGTATACCATTTATCAATGTCGTGTTACTCGAATAAAGACCAGCAACGAATCACAGTTAGTCAAACGAATGCTGTACACGTGCCGGATTTCCACCCGCGTGATTCCGTCACGCCGTATATATATATACACACATATATATATATATATATATATTTATATATATATATATATATGTACGCATTATGTATACAACTGTATATCTAGCTACGACTTAAAATTAATAGTATTTAAACTCTGTCTCTCTGATATATTATAATGCGATGATATGGCACGTGGTGTGTGTATGCATGTGCGATGATCCAACGATATAGCTCTAATAGTCCCTCTCTCTCTCTCTTTCTCTCTCTTTTCTCTTTCTCTCCCATCATTCGATTACAATGTTTCCCCGTAATTACCTAACTAATCGTTTGGGCTTTGAGTTCCCTGTCTCTCTCTCTCTCTCTCTCTCTCTCTCTCTCTCTCTCTCTTTCGCTCTTATACCACACTTCTCTCTGAATTCCATCCGTATACACTCGATTATTTTCTAAATATCATGCACGAACTCATTGAATATAAATGTAAACAATAAACGAGCGGGACTCCCGTGTTCTCGCGGTGCAATTAGCGTTTGGGAGATACGATCGCCTGAGAATTTTTAATTTTATTTATCTAGTAGGTACATGGAAGGTCGCCTTTTCTTTTTAACGTCAACATGACGCGAGAGTGGGACGATCGTATTTACGCTGAATACACCGTCGGAACCGCGGACCGCGACATTGGCCATACGACAGCTGTGATCTCGCGTTTAGTATCTAACACGAAACGATTAACGAATCGTCGTAAAATCGAGTAGCTCCTTCAACGTATATACGAAATAGAATTTCTCACGACCTCAAAGGAAGAGATTTTTTACGTCTTCTAACTTTTTATTCGCTAACTATACGTGCGGCACGATATTAATGAATGGATGCGCGATATATCCCTAAAACGAGGCAAGTCATGCTGCATATATGGATCTCTATATATATATATATATTTATCTATATATATCTAGTCGAACGGTGCGATTGATGCGAGCCGACATCCTCCGTGAATCGCGTCTCACTGTGCATTGATGTCACCAGGATTGTCAGGATTTCGAGAGGCAATGCGCGCTTGCCCGAACCGCACAATCGCCGCCCGATACGGCGGATTGTCGTCGAATTGATCAGTGGGGGGGACGGGGAGACAATACTGATATTCACCGGGCGATCGTCGTCCCGCGCGATGATGATGATAATAATGGTAATAATGACAATGATTCGTTTTCACGAGATGAGAAGCGTAACGACGGCGCGTGCGTTCGGAGCTTCGATCATGTGAATATATGGAGTCACACAAGCGCTATCCCACGCGTGTATGTGTGTATGTGCGATGTGTATACATTTCATGTGTGTCATACGTGTCATTATATACATATGTGCATCCAGTTCGCGGGAGGACAACGCGTCGGTGTGAATGAATAAACGAAACGTTTATCGATGAAGATTCGGTACTCTGGATTCTACGCAGGTATCTCTTTGTGTTCAAATGTGCGTGTTTCATACTCGGATTACATAATTGCTTTGGGTCACCCTCGCACGCTGCGTAGCGGCGGACGTGTCGTCGAAATTTCTTTCTCTCACCCTCATGTCCCTCTCTCTTTCGCTTCGTTCTTTCCTCCTCCGTTTCTCCTCGAAAAGATTTTTCTCGACGGTAACGGCGCTATTTCCGTGGGACGACGAAGCTTGCTTCCTCTCCTCGCTCTCGTTAATCGTAATTACCTAATAAATCACGCTGGTGAAGATATACGCGCGAAAGGTTACGCGCGTGCCGCGTTTCACGCGCGAGTTTCATCGTGCCTCCTCGCGCCCTTATTTACGAGTTTACTCTTAGTTACGCTTTTTTACTTACGAAACACAAACATCCCGTCTTGTTTTATATATTTATTAGGTACATTACATATGTGTCAATACGATTCTCAAGCATAGTATTGTCAACAGTTGTGTATATCTTTTTTTTTCTCTCCTTAGTTTGCCTTTTTGTATGTGATCTTTCTCTTCTCTTTGCTAGAAAAAAATGTGTGTATCTCGCTTACTTAGCGGTCTGGAGTCTGCCTTGAATTTCTAATTCTCTACGCATTCGTCGGCGTGACCGGACGCAAAAGTTTACGGCGATCTCCTGGGGATCTTTCCTCGGAAAGAAGAGATAATCCGAAACACTTTATTCTTTGAACATTTTTCTTGAAAGAAATAGAAAAGCAATGACTGCAAGCGGATAATTCGCCTTTAACCTTTTAAGATTCCGAATCATTCCGAAATTTAAGGAAACGTAAAACATTTATTTAAAATTATCACTCGGAGGACCGAGAATGATACAAAACTGGAAAATATATTTTAAGAAAAGGCTGAAGAACTGTAAAATCCGTGCTAAACGTACATTTTAACCGTGAATTTTTTCGTAATTTTTCAGAGCTTTGCTCGTTCAAATTTTTTCAAGTGTCTGGATTCTTTTTCATCAGTTATCGTATCATATGTAATTGTTTACTGAATTTCCGGAATTAGAAATATTCTTGCAGTTATGCGCTACACACTTTTGCGTCCCGTATCTTCGCATCTGTATTTTCCTGCGGCTGATAACATCGCGGGTGAAGAGTTACGATTTGTCGATGCGATACACAGGGTGTTCCAGGTTTCGCCCATCTACGGACTCTTCGATCAATTTCGCGATTATTTTTCCTTAACGAAAAGTGTCGAGGCAGCGATAAGTTTTTAAACTGTACGGCGATAAAAAGTCTAAGAATTTTCAACGAGAACGGTATAGAGATGACAGAGCCCTTAATCTTTATTCAATTCGAAGTGACTTTTACTTTCACAGTATTTTTATTTGAGACTTAAACATTAGACATTTGTGAAAAAGGATAACTTTTGCTAAGGAAAAATCAACTGTGAATTGGTCGCAGAATCGATAGATGAAGGGAAGTGGAGACTACATCTGAATCACTCTGCATATATGTAATATATATATATTATATATACCTTTCTCTCTCTCTCTCTCTCTCTCTTTCTCTTTCTTTCTCTTCCGATTATTATCGCGACGAGACTCCTCGGACGTTTACAGAGAATAGAAATATGGGAATGTATTTAAAGAAGAAAAATACTGTTGCTATGTTTTTAAGGATCGGTGTAATGTTGTAGTCGCGTATCTATCATTTGTTATCTGTTTCCAATTTCTCTGTACAATATCTCCACCTTCCGCGTACGCGGACTCCGTTTGCGGGTCTCCCCCCATACGTACGTACCGTGTACCGTGTATATGTTTCTTGTGCGTGTAAGGTGTAGCGTGTCGGTGTCGTCTTTAAAGGGTAATTATCACAGAATACACGAGATATTTTCATTTTAAGCTTACAAGATATTAATCGAAGCGGAGAGTAGGAGGAAAAATTGGCGGTCGACCCCGTCGACGGTCGCACGGTGATATAGTGGTGGATTTACGACTGGGGAGGGGACGGGAGGGCGATAACGAGTAATCGAGGTAATCGTCTCGTGGGTGTTGGCCCGTCGACAAGGCCGATCTGAGGTGCCGAATTCGCCAGCCCTTTCGTATTAAGTAATGTACTTAAGTGTTAGGCAGCGGAGAAAATAGACACTTTTACAAATGAAGAGATGGTGGCGAGATCGCGGACCCGTGTTCTTCTTTTCTACCAGCTTGAATTTTTCCGACGCCATCAACGACGCAGATGCAGGTGCTTCGTAAATTGATCTCCAAATTGAAGTTGGGGAGCTTCTAACAGAATTCTAATATGATTTCAGGTATCTTACATTATTGAAAGATATTTTGAAGGATCGATGCTAACACAATTTGTTCCATTTTTCTTTTTAAAAATACTTAAACAAATTGATCTAAATTTAACGAATACAAATTATTAATTTATGATTAATGTCAAGTTATTTTTTCTTAACGTTAAGATTAATTTTCTTAGATTCTTAAAGAAGTGAGCTCGAGCACTATTACGTAAAATTCTTCTGTTCATAGCCTGATGTTTCAATGTATACCTACTCAGATTTGTTAAGCACCTGCAACTGAAATGATCGGACGTTCACTTTTTTTTGCGATGGCTCTCGTCTCTCTTTCTCTGTCTGCCGATCGAAAATTCCGCGCTCGCAGCTACATCAGCAGTTTTTAGACACTATACACAATACGTAAGTATAATCTAGACGTACTACGTAGTAGAAACTTTTTGAATATAATAGCGTAATCTCCGGAGTTGTGTTGTACCTGCCCCGCCCGACTTTGCAGCCCTGGGCTGGACGATGATTGGATTCATCGGATACAAGGTCGCGGTGTCCCATCGAGTTTCTCTCACGGAGGGATCCGACCGAAGCTTCGTAGCGATCGTATAGCAGATGTGGCGTAGAGGGGCCCCGATGTACGATTCTCCACTCACCCCCTTTCGCCGTCGGCCCGAATACGAATATTATATATAGTTCCCGATAAGAGAGATCGGCGAAGACGCGGTAGACGCGTTTCTACGGACGGGCGAACGTCCGCTAATGCGCACGAGGCGAGATGTATTACAAGACGCGATGAAGCTAATAGACGGTATAGCCAGTAGTCACGTACTAATAATAATAGCTCTTTAACGTCCACTGCCTCATGTCGTATTTCCGAGGATAGGCGTTGCCGTAAAAAACAGCGATAGCTAAAGAGAGAGAATCAAAAGCTACGGTATATAATTACTTGGGCGCGCTACAAGATTACGAGTATAGCGTTGTCGTTCACTCGACGTTACTCGGGGTCGCTCAGATGTATTACCCAATTCGCGCGTCACACATTCAGATAATACTCGGAAGTACCCGGGTATCCGAGTGCCGACAACACTAGTTTACAGGAATGTAAAGTTCAATTTTGCAGGCTCGCTCGCTCGCCGGTTCGTAGAACGAGGATTCGCGTTCGCAGCGCGTCTCTGAGCGTGTGTGTGTGTGTGTGTGTGTGTACGTGTTTCTCTGTCTTACGTTTAAGTACGCAACTTTCGCGGAGGCGCGGGATCAATCGCGCGTACAATCCTCCGCTCGCAATCGGTCTGGGAATCGGTATCTGCCGCTCTCGCGCAGCTCTCTCGAAGCTTTCGGGCGGATCTCGGCGTCATTCGCAACAGCAGCAACAGCATCAGCAACAGTCAGACTCTTACGATCATTTCTGGTATAATCTTACGGATAAGAACGTAATTTACAATTACAATGCCTTACTAACTTCTTTCTGGTTTTTTTTTCTTTTTTATTACTAACGGCACGCCGCTGCGTGACGTCACAGGACGTGCCTATTTGGTCGTACGCAATGCTACATTTAAACTGTATATTTAGAAAAAACCTCTTCGTCTCAACAATGTTTTCACGTATCTACAGTAAACTTCGTCCTCCCGAACAAACGGCCTAGAAACGGACGCGGTCATATCGCGCGCGCGCGCGCGCGTGTAGACTTATGTGTGAGGTGTGTAATGTGTGCGTGGCACGTAAAACCCTTGCGGTGTTACGCGTCGATTTCGCCCTCTGTTTTATAGCGTATATGCGACCGCGTCGCGATCGAAGGACCCACCACACGTGGACTCGCTTTTCGTCCTCTTTCATTTCGAAGTCAGTCTTTCGGCGAACGGCGGCGCGTCCGATCGAGAGAGTTTCCTTTTGCGCGAAGCGTACGCGTACTTGAGTTCTTCGCGATGTTTAATCTCTTTCTTTCTCTCTCTCGTCCTATCAATTACGTTACGAATATTACCAAATATATTGCGTACTGGCAGCACTGTTTTCACGTTTCGCGTTTTTTTTTGTCTAGCGAATACACTCTCTCCTTCGTATCTCCGTCTCCCCCTGCGTCTCGCCTGCAACACACGCACGAAGAAGAGTCCGATGTGTCTCTAAGTCTCATGTAGTACCGGAGCGTCGCTCGTCATCGTCGTTGTCGAGCTCCGCTTCCTCGATTTCTTTTATCTGTCTGCAAACGCAGGCGGGAGGAATCATCCTTTTTTTTTTTCATTATTGTAGTAGTACGCAGGACGAACGCCGAGCCACGCGGGCGTTGACCTAGCTTGTCGTCCCATCTCGAGATTTGTGGAAGATGATCGTTCCCGGCGCGTCGTCGCTGTCCAGGGACGGGGTTGAAGCTTTTTGTATGTGTATGTGTGTATGTGTGTGTGTGTGTGTGTGTGTGCGTGTGAGTCGTAAAAAAGGGAGAGGAATTACGCTCGACTGAACTCCACGGCGCGAGGGAAGCTGGAGAGAAGAAGCTCCGCGGTAAGTCAAATCCCGTTGCTAGGATTCGTCCCTCCTTGAGTCGTGCGCCTCTCAGGCGAAGAAGAAGGGCGGAAGGGTTCGGGGCGATCGTTCTCGCCGGGTGAATCGCACGAATTAACATACTCTCTCTCTCTTTCTTTCTCTCTCTCTCGCGGAATCGTGAAAGATTTCGTTCGCTTTGTGGCACCGAAGGCATCAAATGCATAACCCCCTTTGGACGGCCTCCTGCTTCTCTTCCTCCTCCTCTTCCTGCTCTTTCTCTTCTTCTTCTTCTCGTTTCTTCTCCACTTCGTGCTCTTTCCAAGCTCGAAGTACTCGAGTCGCTTCGCTATCGGCTTATTTAATGCAACGTCGCATCTCCTCAAGTGGGATTCGGCAGCGGTGTCTCCTGCCTGATGTCGCTCTTCAGCTTCACGAACTCCTTGGCGATCTCGTCGTTGTTGCGCTGCGAGAGAATGCGCAGGATCGTCCAGCCGGTCTCGTCCATCTGGATACGCTTGCCGAGCGACAGCCAGCACGCGCACGAGCCCTCCTCGACGATGTCCTTGAGCTGCATCACCGCCACTCCGACGAGCCTGTCCTCCCTCGCGAAGCAGTAGTCCTTCACGCAGATATGCAACTCGTAGAAGTCCAGCTGTTGTTGCTCGTTACCGATCATGCTGAGAACAAAGATAAGGCAAGAGTCAGAGAAAAAATGTTAGTAATTATCGATTACATTAAATTACATTAAATTAAATTTTAAAAAATAATAATAAATTAAATTTTGCATTGAAACTTACAAGTCGAAGCTCTCGTTGAATTGCGGCGACCAGTTATTGCTCTTCGATTTCGTCGACTGTTTCCTCTTCTTGCCAGTAAGATGCGGTCCGATTAGATTCACCTCAACATACGGCCTGAACATGCCCGTTGCCAATTGCCACTTCAAATCGTTCGCGGCCACAACTGAGGAATAAAAAAATTTTTATATATTTTTTTATCTAATTGTCGAGTCAAATTATGTCAAATGGTATTATTACAACTATTAAAGTTGTAATAATATATTAATAATAAATAATAAATAATAATAAATTACACGATTGATTTTACAAATTTTACGAGATTACAATCGTACCTTTGACGGTGACTTTTTGCTCTCCCGTTCCCGGATGCGTAAAGAGATCCACCTGGATGCTCACCTCGCCCACCGAACCCTCTTCTGAAGCAGCGGTATCTGGAACTTCAACAATTTGCAGTCAAAATGTACGCTCGAGTACTTGAAGGTCATAAAGCTTTAGAATGGCATCTAGACACTACGCGGACTTCGTCTGATTCTATCTGACTATGCTATGATCTGAGACTAAGAGAGGCTAAGAGAGTCTATTCTCGATTTCTATTTCTAGAGCAGATTACATGCTCTGATAATAGGCAGGTCAGGTACTTGTTGTCAGCGTAATTATCAGAGAAGACGAAGTCAGCCACCGCGAAGTTTTCAATGATTCAGCCACACGGTGTGTGTCGAGAATTATAAATTTAAAAATTTTCTGGTTTCATCGGTTTTGCATCGAAAAAAATAAATTCATTTCTTATATATTCGGAGGGCTCTATAGCGACAATCTCCGAATGATTCAGTGCAGGTACAAGTATGGTACAAGTGTCCATGGTGCAGACGATCGATCGATTGGATCGATCAATCCGTGAAATCCTTTTTCTTTGAGTGTTCGTTCCTTCAAACGTTCGGAGGAACAATGTGGCGCTAGACAGAACGGCGAGTATATCACGAGCTTGTAAGAAGATCGTGGTGTGGTGATTTAGTGATTTAAATGACAAAGTTTCCTTGATATGTGTGTACGTGTGTGTCAGAAGCGTTGTATTGAGAAACTATGAGGCCGAAAGAGGCATTTTGCTGGTCGGTAAAGTTCTCAGTAGTAGTAGCGGCAAGAGTGGCGGCAGTAGCAGCAGCGGCAGTGATAATAGCACAGCTTCCTAACACAGCTATCGTTGTCGAGACGTTTTTCAAACATTTTCCTTCTTTAGAAACGTAAAAAATTGATAGAAACATGAAGATTTTTAATACTAAAATTAATCTGTATATCGGCCATTTATTCCTATTTATTGAACTGCCTTATTTATTATTTTAAACTATTTCAAATTTGTTAAAAGAAGAAGAGAAATTGAATCGAAAGATGTCTCGAGAAAACGATCAGTTCACTACGGCCTAAAAGTCTCTCCGACACTTCCAGCGACCTTCTAAAGTCTGCTCTGGTGATACCTTGTCGACTCTCTCGACGAAGAGAGGGCTTGGTCTGGCGAAGGGGTTCCTCGAGGCTTTCCATACCCTCGGCTCCGTCCCCTTCGTCACCTCTCTCGCTGCTCATCGAACGCTGACGCTGATGTAGCGTTGATGCATCGTTCAGCGGCACTGTTCCCGACAATTTTCATTACGTCGTAATGTGTGAGTGTAAAAACACGCGCGCGCCGGTATTACATCGCGCGACAGTTGCGCGACGGAACGTGTGTAATGTGTCGTTTAGAATATATCGTTTGTGTCTAATTAATTCGTGTGTATTCCTGATTAGTCCCGCTTTTATCGTGATTTCGTTTCGCAATTACATAGCAAGAAACACATATAAAAATAATATATAGTTATAAAATAACAGTTATCATTTGCTGTTTATTAATTTGCAATGTCAATGATATACTCAGAGCGACTTACCTTGGTTGACTTGCGAAGTGACGAAGGTTCTGATGAGGGTGTCCGTCGTCTGCGTGTACAAGCTCAACGCGTAACGGAGGCTCTGCAGCTCCGGCGACTTCTCCAGGAACGTCTTCTTCAAGCCGTTACCGCCGGCGTGGAAGTACTGCTTGATCGTGTCCAGGGCGACCTCGAGAACCGCGCACTGCTTCGGCGAGAGGTTCTTCTCCACTTCCTTGGAAATATCCTGAATGAATTAGAATGCTTAACACATAGCGACTTTTCTTCGTAAAAATTTAGATAATTCAGTTTATTCAAATAATTTTTACGACTTGAATAATGTATTGTTTCTATTACCATAACTCCGCTGAGGGCATTTTTAACGTCGGGTTTCCCGGCCATATGGTTCTTAAACAGCTTGGACATATCCTCTATCTTGGCGTTCGCAGCGAGATTCTTGGCGTTATCCGTCAGATTCTTGAACATCATCTATAAGAAACACAAATCGTAATATATGCCGTTTTAATATATTCTATTAATTTTTTTTCTAAAAAAAGATTTAATTGTAATACATACGCTCTTATCCGTCATAGGTGGCAAGACGACAGTCTTTTCCAAAATTCTCATGACTATCTTCCACAGTTCTTTCAATAGTCTCTTCAATACCGTCTTCTCGCACGATTCAGCGTACAGAGACAGGCTACCATCGAGCAGAACCATGAGCGGCCTCAGAACGTCGTCGGCCTCTGCGGTTACGTTGTTTCTTTGCGCCGGCTGCGACAGGGTTACCTGTCCGCCGCCTTTGATAGCCAACAGAAGGTCTCCTAGCTCCCTGACGGAAACGGTTATTCGCGGTTCCAAACTGTTCGCGAATAGTATAGCCAAATCGTCCATAGCGCCGTTCAGCTGTTGTTGCAGCTCCTTCAATATGTTCGCCGCGTCCTCCTCCAGCTTGTCGCCGCCCATCGACTCGAACATTTTCTCTAATTGTATCCGAAGTTGCTGGATATTGTTCATGAGAATGCACGCCTGCGGAATAAAACAATTCGTGATAAAGTCTGTCGATAGCTTCGTTCGAATTTCCGCAAATTTTATCCAACACGTACAATTCGTTCCTCCTTCATGTGGCTGGGGAATTCCTTCTTCACTATATCCGCGTAAGCCACCAGGACTTTGACGATAGTCTTCGCGAATCTCTTCATGTATCTCTTCCAGATCTCCGGGTCCGGACATTCGAGCTTCGACACCACGTCGAAGCACTGCGTCAGCTGTGTGAAAACATCGACAACGGAGACGCTGAAGAGCACATGCTCGCTGCTCTTCTGGAACTGTAAGAAAAGATTGAAGAATCATTAAAGAACGCTGCTGCATCATCGGGATACCGTGATGATAAAATCATAGCACTTACGCCTTCCTTTTTATCTCTACTAAAGGCACCGTGGAGATATTCTAATGAGACGTCATCGTTCTCATTGAGCCATTGCATGACGAAGGGTTCGAACCAGGCCGGGTATTCTGGCACGGCGCCCTTATACGGCGGCACGTCCTTAACGTAGTTGGCGTGCAGCCACTTGACTTTGAAGTGCAAATTCATATAGGCCGAGGACTTGCACAGTCTATGCTGCTCGTGCTCCTCCAGAGCGTACTTCATGTCCACCGCGAACAACGACCACATCGTGGCCGCCGACAGTTGACCGATGTTGAGCTCCTGAGGGAACTGATTTAACACGGGCGCATAGCTGTTCTTGTCCTCCTCGATCACCGAGACTATCAGGGCGATCAGCTTGTGCCAGAAGTCGAGCGAGTCCAGCCGTGGCCCGTGATCGTCCGTGTCCCGCTTCGCCTCGTTCGGATCCGCCTGGAACTCCCGGTTGTACAGATCGTAACAGTTCTCGAAGAGGAACTGATAGGTCGATCGCAGGCACGCCTTCACGCAATCCTTCACGACGGTGCTGGCACGTGGCGGGCTTGACAGCTCCTGGACCTTCATACGGAAGAACGTGATGCTCGTCAGCAGGTCCACGGTGCTCTTCAGATCCATCAGCTTCTCCTGGCTCGAGGCCGGGAAATTGTTCCTGTACATCGACAGGTCGATCCTGAGAGAGTTGTGCAGCTGATCCAGTAGCTTGACGAATTTTTCTTTCTATAACAAGAATCGTCCAGTTAGCTTCTTTTATCAGTAATAATAGCTGCGGTTTCCTTTTTGAATAAATATGATAAATGCGCCGATTTTTTAATCGCGAGAATTTTTTTATCGATGCAATATCTACGTATATGTTTCGCTAAGGACTTGAATTTTTTCTCTTTCAGTTTCCGAAGAATTTTAAATGCCGAATTTCTTCCTGCTACTGGGAAAGTTTCGCGTAATATTTTCGAAGAGGAACATCATGCATAATTCAAGAATATGAGAAGCATACTCTCTCATATACATCTCTTCCGGAATTAAGAGATTTACGAATTTAAATTTCGTACAAAATTTTGGTTCACATATCGTTCGTTATTTTATGGAGGCGGCGGGAACGTCGATTCGCGTGAAGGTATGCAAAAAGAATTTCCATATTCCCCGCGCGGCAGGAAAATCTATTCGCCTGGCCTTGGCTGCCCGTCGGTTAAACTGCAAATGGTGGGAAAAGAACGCGGTCGAAGAGAATCTTAATTAAAATCTTAATTAAGTAGCGTGCATAGGGTCCCTCCACTATTTTTTTCTCTTTTCTTCGAAAAGTGTTGTACTTGCTAAGAAACGGGAGAATAAAAAAAAAATGCAATCGTAAACACGGCGCGACCTTGCTAATCGTCGATGCAGACGTGAATTCGTGACTTAACGGGTTTTTAAATCGAACGCAAGCATTTCTCACTTATCGTTGGACTTTATTGTCCTTTGCAGTCTTAACACGGCGAAAAGTCAGTTACTGATTCTTGGAAGAAATCCGTTTTAATCCGCTAAATGACCGATTCGCCAAGATTCAAGCCTTATTCAAAGCGCCTTAACGCCGCGGCAGAGGCTTGGCTTAATCCCTCTCGAAAGTTTGCGAAGTAATTATTTAACCAACGTTATATATGTATATATATATATACACTCGCGTCGGCTGATCCCTTTATTCCTGGTGACCTGGTGAGAACGAAATTGATAGAGAGGATCGAGGCGAAAAGCGCGTTCCTTTGCGCAAGTCAACGCGCGACCCGTCCCGAGGATATGAGAAGTAGCTCGGGATAACGTATATACGCGCTGGTTGCCAGGAAATTGCACGAGTATTTCTCGCTTCTCTCGCCCGGCGCATTCGCCATCCCTCACTCTTCCATGCTCGCCCTAGTACGCGTGCGGCGGAGATACCGCGGCACAATCTTCAACATCCGGCACTTACCCCGAAGTTACTGGCGGCGAATCTATCACTGGCCGACACAGCCGGACTGGCGGTCGTGTGGGCGTAGTACGCGTTTATGTTCGCCAGGAGGGTCGACATAACGGCCGGCACGCCTGGACACAGGTACTTGGTTGAGAGGCAGTGGAAGTGCCTGGAAAATACGAAATATCACGATCGTATCGAAAAACCATTTGTCTTGATTCTTTCTATTGTCTCAGGGCAGTTACGCGGCTTATTTTAATCTCGGTTGCGCAATACGTGACTTCTATTACGGGAATTTTTATTTGATTTTTACTTGATTCAATAATCAGGATAAATATATTAAATATATTAAATGTGTATCACCTTGTAATAACAAAATCAATAACTTTTGACAACGGCTTCCCAGTAAACATCAAGTTACATGTAACGTACCTGTTAGTTATAATTTCCCACTCAACAATATAACTTTAACACATGTGTGACATGTGTTGCATTGCAGTTATATATTGTTAAGTGGGAAATTAAACTTCTCTAACAGGTACGTTACATGTAACTAGGTGTTTGCTGAGTTGGATTAAAATTGGATTAAAAATAGCCTGCAATTGCGAACGCGCGGCTTCGACGATACTCACGTCATCGCCTGGTAGATACTCTCGATGCCGTAACGCATGGCGAATTCGTCGACGAGCTCCTCGCCGGGAGGATCGAAGTAGACCTTCCAGGCGTCGTCGCCCTTCGCCTCGGGCAGAGTCACTATGCCGCCGTTCTCCTCGCACAGGCTGTGGAAGAGATTCTCGTGCAGGCAGGTGTACTGTACGTGGTAAGGCGCCACCTTCTCCTCGCCCTTGATCTCGACGCTGATGTGCAGCCGGATGGCGCCCGACACCGCGCTCTTGTCCGTCCTCTTCTCCAGATTGTACCAGACGTCCATCTCGCCGCTGAGCGTCCGGACCTCGATGATGGTCTGCCCGAGAAAGTCGTCGCTCTCCCTCGTCAGTTTTTGCCGCAGCTTCGACTTCAGGTCGTTGTCCTCGTCCCACACGCGGACTTTGATCCGATCGGACGAATTGTGGCACTCGCTGTGAACAGGCGAGTTTGCGGCTTTTTACGACGTTCCATTCTCGTTAACATCCTTTAAATCGCACTCCCCTTGAAACTGTAGATTGAATTTCTTCCAGCGCTTTTAAACGACCGACATTTCATCGACAAGAGAAAATACGCGCGGTATACATTAACGTGTTTTAACAACGGATAAGCAAACACGTAAATATAAATGTAAACATGTATGAGTAAACGCAACAATTGACGTCATCACATTGTCGTGAAAACGACGGTGAATTCGCAGTCGAGCAAGACCGAGACCGGAGAGAGAATTACGCATTCCGCTCGCGTAAGCGGAGAAACTTGAAATTACTTACAAGTAGAACTTCTCGTGCCATACTGGATTTAGCTCCCGCGGCATGGTCCTCGTGCGTTTCTTTACTTTACCAACTTGGACCGTTACGTAGGGATCGGATGTGCCGCTCTTATCTTTGGCGATTAATCCCTGCGCGCTGATCACTGCGGACGGGAGAAGAATAGAATTAGGTGGACTTGTCCGTTTTCCGGGCCGGAGTGCCTAGATCTCGCGAACGGGAACTGCGAAAGATTTAATTCCCGAGAGCGTAAATTTCTAATCTCGCGGTGTACATAATTCGATTACCGCCGCGACAATACCGCCCGAATGAAAACATTACCGGAGTTTGCCAGCTGGCCAGTATCCAAGAACGCGACTGCGAGGGTTAATCCAATAAAGCTAACAGAGCCGGATATCCGTCGGGGAACATCTGCTCGCACCGCGTCGGTGCGAAATAAAAAAAACAATTATTCGCGAATCCGTATTCCAACATTAAACCCGCACGAACGCGTCGAAATGACGTACGTCGAGCAATTCTCGCGTTATTTTCTTCCCCGTGCGATAATCGGAGCAAAACGCGGGCGGATAAAAGCGTCTCGAATTCGCGACTCAACGCGGGATTCGCGAGAGAGATCTGCGTTGTCCGCGCGGAAAAGGCTGACTCAAATGATACCGTCTTACCGTTGAACCGGGCCGGGATTACAATCTTTCCTGCGGGGACCGTCGCGACATATCGTTCGGTCGATTTGTCGTTTCGATTCCGAGCCGACGCGACAGGGGGTAGTCGAACGATCGGCCACAAAAACGCGTGGTTATGGCTTTCGAAAACCGAGCGCGTTCATCATCGTGTCGGCCCCCCCCCCCTCCTTTCTCGAGGCGATAAAATTTTACTGTCCCGTTCCGATTCTGATTTGACGACAAATGCGCACTTGATACACATCTCTCTGCTGGCGTTAGCCCCGCATTTACGCCCCCGACGGTGGTTTCACATTTATTACTTGTGACAGATACAATCCGCCGTCGTATCTCTGGTGAACGAGCTACTTCATTTTGACGGTGACTGATAGGGAAAAGTGATGTAAAGATTTATCTCTTGATAATTTATATTAATCGCCGGGATTCTAAGAAAATAGAAACTCGTATTTTCCTGCGCGGATACGATGAATATACGAATTGCCACGATCTTTTCTCAACGTCGATTCGATTCTTTCGACGCTTACGCGGCTAACAGACTATATTTCGGAGAAAGTTTTTTTTCGCGGACATGTTTCATATTCATCTATTTGCACGTGCGCGTCAACCGAATGAATAAATATGACTCAGCTTTATGTGAGAGTTTAATTAAAAACAGGTAGTTTGAAACACAGGTAGGTGAGTCCCGCAGGGCTTTTATCTCGAAATATTCGAGGAATTGAGAAGAGCTGACGCTTCTCCATTTTCCCCATTGTATGTCTTCTCCATTATTAAATCGTTCGGTACTTTTTGCAAAAACTCTTCAGATTTGAAACAATCGAACTTTATTCCCCCCCGAGGGTGACTTGCGGCGTGTTTCAATTTTTTAACTGAAAAACTATACGTCCACGTGCGAAGGATTCGAAAAGGTAGAGAAAAATTTTCGATAAATAAAAATTAGAAAAATTCTCGGTTGGCATTTATCGCGTTTAAAACGACGCGTAGAGTATCTTCTTTCCGCCTAGTCGTTACAGTGACAAGTAATTATAATATACGTCGTGTGTAAGAAGGTGCATGCAAAAAGGCTCAACATCCATCCGATTTGGAAACTTGATATCCATTGTAGGCAGCCATCGTGGCAAAAGCGTGCAGAAGCTCGGCTTGGACCAAGTACATATATCATATAATAACGTACGTATATAAGGATATATATATACGTATAGTATGTACACATACATATAGGCATATATGTTGACACACAAAAGGAAGTATTTAAAACATATAAATATACATTTTTGTGCGTGTGTGTGTGTATGTGTGTGTATCGTGGGGTGGCATCATATATCAGGTAACGTGCTTCGGTTTGGATCGACGGACAGACACACATGCCCATGCTACTAACTCTTTTCCGATTCGCGCCGCCGATTGCAGTGGGGACGCTTCGTCGGTGCTTCCTGCCCTCGATGAATGTCGATTTCATACCTAATCTCATTAATCATCAAGTCATCGCCACAATCCACTTGGTGAGAGAGATGTCAAGAGTCTCGCGGCGCGTACAGGCGCCGGCCGTCTGTGTGTCGCGCGTGTACGTGTGTGTGGGTATTGTGTGTGTGTGTGTGTGTAATTTTGTGTGCAGCAGAACTGCGTTCTACATCGCACAACATCCGCACTCACTTCATCTGGATATAAATGAGCGTTGGCGCTTCATTAATTTCGCAATTAATCCGGCGCAAGAATATTATCGCCGATAACGATTGAGTCGGATTCACGCGCGCGCTGGATTTGCAGCACTGATGATTTATGCATTTTATTCGAGTTCGTGTGTGCGAGGCTCAAGATCAGAAAGAGGTATAACACCGCGCGCGTGTAGAGGACTACACGCACGATAACTACGCACGCGATTGAAATTGAGCACTTCATCGCGCGCGTAAATCCACTAGCGAATAAAGCAGATCTATCGAACGTCAAAAAGTCGCGCGTTGTTAAATGAAATAATATACATACGCGGACGAGGCGAACATGCGTTACGCGTGTGTTTCACATCGTCGCGTTGCGTTCTATGCGTGACCCGTTATAATATCTATAGAACTTGACATTTCGCGAATTCAATCTCTAAATACCGAAAACATCCGGACATATAGAGCCTCGTTGACGCATCGCGTTCGCGTCTGTGAATTTCGAAAAAAAAAGAGGAAAAAGCGAACGTCAGATCGATCGTCGCAACGATTGACCGCGATACATACGAGAATGTAAATATTGCAATTATCATCGGTATCGAACGTATATAATTTGTCGTTTGCGTGTAGTACGTTACGAGGTTGATCGTTATCAACGCATATTGATTCCCCACGTGTTAGGCCGCGTACTCCGTGCACGGGATCCAATCTCGCGGATCGAACACACTCGCACGCTAATTTAACGTGTCGGACTTGCTGCCGCGGGCCGCATTCATTTTTAATTGATCATACTGCGGCGATGCGTACACTGCGGCAGATTGTTGATGCGCCTATATAGTGTTGAGCGCGGGATGTGTTCCACATTTTGTGTTTATTGTCTTTTTTATTATGTCACTTTCGCAAAAGAGATCCCGCAGGGATGATACGAGATCCCCGAGTCTTTTATTCGACACCCCGAATCCTTTCCGGGGCGCAATCTGCACCGGTATCTCGTCAGATCGTAGTCATTTTAATTTGCGCCCAGTGAGTCAAGGGACTTGATTATTGGGGCGGAAGGGAGGAAGCGGCGCCGACTGTTACCACTACTGCTCCATCTCTTTCACTAATTCGCATCCCTCCCCGTTTGGCCCCTTATTTCCTTGAATCTCCTCCCTTATCTCATGGCGGTTAACCCGCTGAGGGTGCGCGATCAAAATCAGATTACTCTGAGGTATCAGACGTATGGAGAGAATCGGAGGATTCAAAACGGTATTCCATTATGCGCTGAGAAATATTAAATATATAATAGCTCGATATATTCCGTTTCGAATTATTTTAGAAAGAAAACTTTGATTCTCTTATTTAGGCCAATATTTAAAATTAACGTGTGATTCCATCCCCAAAGTTTAATTTATATGTACACGTTTCGTTGCGCAGGTCGATATCGCGTGTATTGCCTGTTTTCCCCCTCAATGTATAATTCCTCTGTCAGGACGAAAGTCGCAAACAGAGCGGAAATGGTCAGCCAACGAATCAACCAGCCACGGGCACGTGGTTGACAACCGCGGTCGGCAATTTCTTGGCGAAGTAACTTCGCCCCAGAAAATTGTCTCAATTTTCTTCTACTCCTTTTTTTTTTTTTGATTATCCGAACTCCGCGCTTTCCGCGCCGAGAGTATATAAACGCGCGAGGAAGGAAACGCTCACGACACGGGGGAAATAAAAAGCTTCGGAACGAGGAGACGCGCTGTCTAAAACAGACCATTTCGCCGATTTTATTCTTCTCTCTTCTTCTTCTTCGTTTTTTTTATACTGCGCCCTATTTACTTATCTCCCGTTTTCAACGGGATAACCGTAACCCGCGCTTTTTTCATACCGCCGTCCCGTCGCTCTAGCTACTCTTTCACTCGCTACTTCCGCTGTTAGCGGAACGGACCAGGCGAGCGCCGCTGGATACGTCGGCAGCTTTTGAAAGGCAAAAAAGTTTCGTTGCAACTCGCCCCTCGTGCTCCCCGCTTATCGACTTTTTTTCCCGCGCCGGAGCACGTTCCGGCGGCGCAAATACCATTCATCCTCCTTTATCTTTCCAGCAGATCGTAAATAATAAAGTACCTCTTAGGGTTCTTCCGTCTCTTGCATTACGTTAAGTGCACAAAATGCAGTTTACATTAACTTTCGCGTTCATTTACAATTCGTCCGCGCGCCTCGTTCACGCGGCCTTTTTGCGCAGCCTCGATTAATGCGTGTGGTGGCAAACGATGCGTTATCGGCTTGTTATCGTGCCATTATATCGAGGTGTTAGATATACGAGCGATATGATAGGAGATATGAAACGCTTCTGGGCGCGCTCAACCGAAACGTTAAGGCCTCCTTTGGGAGCCTCGGCGCGAGCTTCGGTTATTTAAGACGACTCCGTTCTGCCGGGAAAATTTCTCCGCGTGTAAGATTCTCTTCACCCTCTCGCCCCCCCCCCCCCGGCGG